AGATAAAACCTATGAGATTATTTCTTACATTGAAGTTGTGGTTATTTTGTTTCGTCTTCAGAACCTGGTTAATAAAATAAAACCTGATAAAATGTAACTTTTCAGCAGAGATAAAAACTGATGGACTTGTTTTCTCCAACATGAATCTTTAAACTTTTCCTGACAAACAGAAAGTGTCAGTTTGAACAGGTTTGGAAACATGAAAGTCTTAGAGCTGGATGTTGTTTGTGTCCACAGACCAGGACGAGTGTCTCATCAGGAACATGTGTCTGAACGGTCTCTGCATCAACGAGGAAGGCAGCTTTAAGTGCATCTGTAAACCGGGCTTCCTGCTGGACACCAGCGGCAGGATGTGTGTCGGTGAGACTCTGTTCCACAGATAACCCCTCTAGAAATCCCCTGAAGGACCCTCAGCCAGCGGGACGTGTGGATGTTCGACAGAACCATGGAGGACAGAAGTTTGGACTCATCCAGGACCTGGGAACATCAAGCTGCTATAAAACATGCTCAGACTGATGGTTCTGTTTGATTCTATCAGGAGCAGAAAGTCTTTGCTCCAAACCAACTTCAATAAATCTGAGAGGCTGTCCCCCCAGCTGCTCCCTGCAGGGTCTCCAGAGTCTGGATCAGAGACACTGACCCGGTTCAGTCATGTCCAGATAAATAAAACCAGGAGTGAGCTGTGGGGATGTGTTGATGTAGGCAGGGATTTAGAGGGCCTGTAGAGGGCCTGTAGAGGGTCTGTAGAGGGTCTGTGGAGGGTCTGTAGAGGGTCTGTGGAGGGTCTGTAGAGGGCCTGTAGAGGGTCTGTAGAGGGTCTGTGGAGGGTCTGTAGAGGGTCTGTGGAGGGTCTGTAGAGGGCCTGTAGAGGGTCTGTAGAGGGTCTGTGGAGGGTCTGTAGAGGGTCTGTAGAGGGTCTGTGGAGGGTCTGTAGAGGGTCTGTAGAGGGTCTGTGGAGGGTCTGTAGAGGGTCTGTAGAGGGTCTGTAGAGGACCACAGACTGTCCCTCTACAGTCTGTCCCCCAAAACATACAGATAGAGCTGGTCCACCCACAAACCAAACCCTGATCTGAACCCAACCCTGATTTGAGACACCAATCCTGATCAGATATCCCAACGCTGATCTGAGACCCCAATCCTGATCTGAGACCCAAACCTTGATCTGAGACCCCAACCCTAATCTGAGACCCCAACCCTGATCTGAGACCCCAACCCTGATCTGAGACCCCAACCCTTGATCTGAGACCCCAACCCTTGATCTGAGACCCCAACCCTGATCAGAGACCCCAACGCTGATCTGAGACCCCAAACCCTGATTAGAGACCCCAACCCTGATTAGAGACCCCAACCCTGATCAGAGACCCCAACCCTGATCAAAGACCCCAATCCAGATCAGAGACCCCAACCCTGTAAGTCAAACCTTGACTTGTATCTTTGTCTGTGTCCAAACTGTCGTTCAGATCAGCTGAATGTTTGGACGTGTCTCAGACAAACAGCTGCAGCCCTCTGTTCATCAAACTGGATGTTTCGTTGTGAACTTGATGAAGTGTTGGAGGYACAGATCTCCAGCCTGGACCTACTGTCCAGGTTTTACCCATCAGCTGTTTGTGTCTCTACTGTCCATGTCCCCTCTTTGACCCTCAGCTGTTTGTGTCTGCAGACATCGATGAATGTGAGACTCCAGGGATGTGCATGAACGGACACTGCGTGAACACGGAGGGCTCGTTCCGCTGCGAGTGCATGGCCGGGATGGCGGTGGGCCTGGATGGACGGGTCTGTGTCGGTGAGGACGTCCTCCGTTAGATCTGCAGCAGGAGATACTTCAGTGATGAAAGGGTTAAAGCTGGGTGATAAACAGCTGATTGCAGTCCATCCTTCATCTTCTTGTTTTCAACATTCCAGCCCGTCCCTGCTGCCTTGCTTCCTGGCTGTGGAAGTGTTGAAATGCTGTTTGTTGGGATGACTTCAGTCCCAGAGGAAGAGGAACTCATTTGTTTCTCTTGTTGTTTTCACACACACACTCTGTGTGTTTCTGACAGACACACACATGCGCAGCTCGTGTTACGGCAGCTACAAGAGAGGTCAGTGCATCCAGCCGCTGTTTGGAGCCGTCACCAAGTCTGAGTGCTGCTGCGCCAGCTCCCAGTACGCCTACGGAGAGCCCTGCCAGCCCTGCCCCGCCCAGAGCTCAGGTACCAGTCCAGACCAGTCCAGACCCAAACCCAGACCAGACCCAGCAGGTCTTTACAGCCACTTCCTGTTTCTGCAAACACTCAGTCCTCTCTAACCAGAGAACTGCACACCAGCAACATGTCCTGTTACCAGTCTGTTGGGAGGATCCTCAGCTACTACCACACTGAACATCAAAAACAAAACAACATTTTTTTACTTATTCTTTATTGGTTTGTCATCATTTTWAATACAAAACAACACAATGAACCACCTGCCTGAGAGTAAAACTTTACATGTATTACAGTACATACATTATTATTTCCTTTGTAAATTGTCCATTTTTCCCATTTTCTGTTCATTTGTTTCTTCTGATTTCAAYCTGTCAGTTTTTCCATCATAAACATGTCTTCCACGGTCCGTTGTTCTACCATGGTGTTCCCTCTTTCCTCCACTTCTTTCTTATTGCCTGTTTTTCTGCTACCAGCAGTATTTTTACTAAATATTTCTCACAGTGTTGGATAGTTCTCCCTGAAAGTTTAGCTAGATACACAACAAGTTGTCTTAGTGTTGGTGTGTCTGTGTGAACTGATGCAGACAAACATCCAGTGATTAGTTCCAGTCACATCCATCCAGTGGTTCATGGGATATTTTGCTAACAGACGCCTGCAGACGCAGGATGCTGTGTGGTCTGGTGCCTGTCATGTTTGATGAAAGGGCTTTTGTGCAGTTCAGCAGCAGGTTGTGTTCTTATCAGCCGGTTGTGTTTGTGTGTCCTGCAGCTGAGTTCCTGGCTCTGTGTCCCAGCGGCGTGGGGATCACCGGCGATGGACGAGGTAGACTCCTGCAGGTTTTAGATCAGCTGACTGAGCCGCGGCTGCTGCAGCCTCTGGAAGTGTGCTGGGTTCTCAGAGGATCCCAGTCTGAACTCGTTTCAAGGTTTAACGACTCGACGAGCTGCACGGCTCTCAGCCAGGGTTGTATAAAGTACCACACAGGGATACTTCAGTAAAAGTTCAAGTATTTTACCAAAAAAATGACTTTGGTAAAAGTTAAAGTGTCCTTTAGGAATATAACTTGAGTAAAAGTGTTAAAGTATGTGATATTTGTTGTAGTTAAGTAGTAAAAGTGTTAAAGTATGTGATATTTGTTGTAGTTAAGTATTAAAAGTCAAAGTGTAGATTTAAAA